TGCTGTACGATATTAAAGGTCTTGGGGTATTAGCTACTGCTGGTACGGCCTAAGGCGGTATGTACGGTACAGCAGGGTACAAGTCATGTTAAACTTATATTAAAGTTTTTCTTCATTACCCATTTAAGCCGTCTCCAGCCATTACTAGAATGTGTTAGTTTTAGACAACCTAAAATTATTTTTACCCTTTTTTTTCTATTCATGAGTTATCATGATCACTCCTATATAGTTTGCCCCCAAAATTCTCATTTAGAGTAAAATAACAAATATTCAAACTTCCAGTTATTTTTGTTTCTTAAAAAAAAAAAAAATTTGTAGTTGTCTAATGTTTGTAAATTACCCATAGTTTCTATTAGCTATTCATTAAGATTATGAAAACTTATAATTAACTAATACTAAGAATGAATGATCATCTGATTAGCTGATGTGAAATGATTTGTTTATTTAATGGTATTTTGTGTTGTTGTGTGTGATGTAAATTAAATGCACCACCATGAGTTAAAGTGCTCCTCTTGCAACTGTTCAAAATGTGAGCCATTGGGATCCTGACATAAAATTAACATAACATTAAAGGATAACAAGGGGCCTTTTGGTCTTATTCATTAAATTAAATACCCCCCCCCCAAAAAAAAACTAAAGCCAAAAATTTACATTGGTATCCTCTAGTGTTACTCTAGTGTTGTGGATAGAAGGACCAATATACAGAAAGTAAACAATCATATTTATGATAAATATATTAGCTTATTTAAACTTGTTTAGAAAGAACTTCCTTTCAAAAATCATTTATACCCAGGCCTATTTTGTGATAGAGATCAATTTAACTTCTTTTTTCAACAACAATTTTATTTGGTATCAAAAACAACATAACAACAATATTTGTTGTAATGCCTGCTGCTTTTGAAATTCGTTTTTGGGTTGGTATCTGCTTTACATGTGTGTGTGTGTGTGTGTTGTTTTTTATTTTTACAAGAGTGGTACTGCTTACACCAGAATGACATTCTGTTTAAGTAATCATTCTATTACTTGACATGAATGCTTACTAGTATTATAGCTAATTATTCTAACTATTAGAATATATTGTTTTCCTGTACTAATCATTATATTACATTCACATTGCTTATTAAAGTTTTGTGTTTCAAATTAAGTTTCTTTTCTACATTTACAGTCTTGATCTATCAGAATTTGCAAAGGCTGCTAAGAAGAAACTCCAAGCAGTAAGTTTTTTGCATTTTCATATAATATTTCAAACTTTGTTTGTTTGCTTATTTTTTTAAGTGTCAGTGTGTAATTTGACCCTTCACTGAAAGTTGTTTAGAAATATTACAGGGTATAAGTACGAGGAAGTTACTAAAGTAAGATAAAGAAACTGATGTAACGTTATCAGTTCCTTGCCACCTTTGGTTTCCTCTAATGTGGAAAAATATGTGTATAGTCATAAGTTTGAAATATTACTGCCAAGGTAAGTTCTTGAATAGTGGGCAGGAGCCAGAGGATTAGAAGTTGGCTGTTGTTACTCCTGTTGTTAAGGAAGGTGATAAAAATTGTCACATTAATTATTGGCCTAATAGTCTAACATTAGTTGTGGGAAAAGTTTTGGAAAATCTGTTAAAAGATGCTTTGCAAAGTTTAGAATTTTATTGGATAGTAAACATGGTTTCATTAAGTGAAAATCTTGTCTTAAAAATATTTTGCAATTATTTGGAAAGGTTACTGCTTATGTAGAAGAGGGTAAGGGTGTAGATTAGGTGTATCTGGAATTTCAAAAAGTATTTGACAAGGTGCCACATAAAAGGCTTCTAAAAATTATCTGTATATTGAGTGAGGGATAAGTTAGCTTATTGGATAGAAAAATGGCTGGAAGGAAGAAAGCAGTGGGTTGTTACAAATGGAGTTCAGTCAAACTGGATTAATGTCACAAGTGCAGTAACTCAGAGCTCAGTCTTTACTCATTTTGATGACATTGATGAAGGAATGCTCAATAAATTACTTAAATTTGCTGACGATATTAAAGTCTTGGGTATTGCTAGCTGTGAGGAGGATACTGCTGCTTTACAAAAGATTTAGATCATTTAGTGAGTTTTTTGAATAAATGGCAGATGGGTTTTAATTATAATGAATGCAAGATAATGCATGTGGATTATCATAATATTAATTATAAGTATAAGTTGGATGGGAATAACCATAATAATTTATGTATAGTTATAAATTTTTAAGAAAATGCTGTCACTTAACATGTTAAATAAACCTAATTATTCATCAATGCTTTTACACAACTTTTTGAAATCCGATAGATTGAAAAACAGTGAGAGACTTGATAAAACCATAGGGGTACATACTTTTTTGAGAAATAGGTTTGTAAAATACAGTAATTTTCAAGTAAAATCTTCACTGAAGTGATAATGAAACATGTTAAAATGTGAAAAATCCATTTATTTTCTTCAGAATAAACACCTAACATAATCCTTAAATGTTGGCTCTTTAACACTTAAAATAATTAAGCTTAGATTTCTCTGTAAGACTGGTTGATTCATTGCCACTGATCAAACATATCTTGATCATCTTGTAAATGTTTCAGTCTGTTAGAGCTTGTGATGTGTCATTCTACACATAGTTCAAACCATGAAATAAATTAGTTGTTTATTTCTCTTATTTATGTAAATTGGATCTAATTTAACCTTCTAACTTCTCTAACCTTTTTCTTTGAAAAATAATGTACACGTAAAATTTAAAAACTATAATTTTCTTTTAATTTTGAAAATAAGGAAATTTCCATTGAGTTTGTGAGTTATGTTGAGCACATGTTCACCCTTTCCAAATGGATTGGATGTTTCACATCACCTTGACTGGGGAAGGACATTAATGCAAAAAGCATACGATAACTCTGAGCATTCCTCATAAAACCTCGTTAAAGTTTCTAAGTATTTTGTACACAAAGAATGACATTATTCTAATTACACTTTTCTAATAGAAATATTATTTATTTATAGTAGTTATTTGCACTCACACTGAAAAGTGCAAGGTGATTTTCATTTTAAGTATAGATATACTTTTCTTCATCTTATACTTTCATATTTCATTTGCATAACCTCTAGAAACTCCTAAATGAATATCAAAAGTTTTTTAAAGGTAAATGCTACTCAGTGACTTCTGCAGAAAATTTTTAAAGAATACAACTTGTCAACCATATGGAAAGGGTTAAAGAATATTTTTCTTGACTAGTTGTTGTTAGCCCAGATGTTTAATTCTATTTCAACTACAAGTTAATAAGTTATTTGTAAAAATTCATGAGAAATAATAATTACTTAAAACATTTTGCACACCTTATTTTGAATTACATATTTTGTCAATTTTCAAGAAAATCTCTACAGCCAATCCTGATAAACTTCAGAATACCCCCCATTAATAGCCGTATTGTTAAAATCCAAATGAAATAATTTTTTAAAATATCATTTACATTTCCTAGCCAATTTTTATGTGAATCTGTGGATCCAGTCCTTAGAGCCTCTAAAAACCTTTATGATTATAAATGGAAGATCAAATTTTAAAACTTCCAAGATTTGAATTTTGATATTATTATTTTAAATGGCTCCTTACATGTCAATACTAATTTTAATTGCTTCAATCAAATCTGAGAAACAGAAAAAAAACCCTTGACACTCCCCTGTTAAGGTTAAGAGTTTAAAGAAAATGTTTAAGTTTTGTTTTGCTTAAAAATTCAAAAATCAAGTAAACATAGAAAATAATAAAATTGTGAATTACTGTAAAGGTGATTTCATTTTTATCCTACTTCAAAATTAAGGTTTTGTTCTTCATTTTTACTGCTTCTTCAGGTACTATATGAATGAGTAACATAAAAAAGGCTGAAAGTACAAAAGTTTTAATCCTTCAAATTTCACAACTTTTTTCTGTTCTAGCTTCCAAACTATCTTTTTGAAGAACTTGTAATGGATGTTTATGATGAAGTTGACAGAAGAGAAAATGATGCAAGTAAGAATAATCTATATTTTATCTTCTTTTGCTCTTCTTTTCAAAATCATTTTGTGGGACTACTTTTCCCCAAATGTTTCATTTCTCTTTATTTTGTTTTTTGATAAATTTTCATCATTTAAATGAATATAAATAGAAAAACAGTTACCATATTATATGAAATTAGTTTTTTCCAGAACTATCATTTTGTTTGGATTGATTTAAAACATTTACAATTGACTGGGTATGTACCACTGCATAATATTACTTACAAAATAAAATCTTATGGAAACATATGTAACACTATAGATGTGGAATTGTTTCCAAATTTACTCAAGTTGCATTTTTTATTTTAGAAGTGACAACTTTTTATGTATTACAAAATATACACAGCTTTTAAAGAAAATGTTTTTTAATATTTCAACTTCAATGTATGAATTAAATGTAAAATATACTTCATGTAAAAGACAAGAAAATCATTGGCGGTGTGTATTTACAGCAATATAAAACTTCTTTTCCCATGTTGAGCTGATGTGGTTGATATTTTTGCTGGGAATTGTGGTATGGAGTGGATTGTGTTACCCATTGCAAACTTCTGTGTTTTTATATTACATAAACAAAAATATCTATTTTGAAATGTCTTTTCTTATAACAATTTCAAATAAAATACCATACATGCAGGTTATGATGAAGAAATGATAAAATGTCTGTGTTTACATTGCATGAATTTTCAATATGAAGTGTGACATCATAGTGGTGTTTGATGTTTCATTTTGTAATAAGGCATTAGTCAGAGCACTGAACTAATGCGTTTTGTCATAATATTACTTTTCTTTTGTGTTGACTTTAAGCTGTGCATTTTTTTAATGATAAGAATGAATATGTATCTGTTTAAGAAACACTTTGTTTATTAGTTATTACTGTTACCTTTAAAAATTGTAATAAAATTTGTTTGTTAATGGTAACAATCTAGACTTGCGTTAAAAGAAAGATTAGTATAATCATAAGTAAATACAACTATTTAAATTGTTTTGTATTTTTCAGTTTGGTTGTCCACTCAGAACCATAGTGCCTTAGTCACAGACCGACAGATTGTTAGATTTCTCCCTGTTAATCCAGAATTTTCATCCACGAGAAATCAAGTAAGACATTCTGTTTTCGACTTAACATTTCATAAAAGGCACACTTTGTAGTATTATAAACCTCCCATGATGTATGACATACCTAGTGTTATTGTTGTTATGGAGTTATTAATGCAGGACTTGAGATTGTCTTGTGAATGTGGCATGGTTATGCAGACTACATTTAGTAAGGCCATATAGAAGTAGTAGCCAATTTAGGTTAAATGTTGGTAGGCATCAGCTTGTTAGGGTATGTGTCCTGTAAACATGCCATATTTTTGCACAAACTTAGAGCTCTCCTCTGTACAATAATAATCTTTGTTGTATGTTACAGTGTCACCACCTTTAACAAGAAGTGTGATTTCCACATACTACTGTAGATGTGTAATAGATTTTGGTGATTAACATGTGTCATACTATTTTTTTTCATCTAAACATATAGATTATTATTATGTTGTTGGGTGACACAGTTTTTTTATTTGTTGAGGTATTATTTATTGTATGATAAACCAGACTAGACATATATATATCTTTCTGAAGATAAATGTATATATAGTTAGTATTTTGTTGGGATGTACAGGCTTATATTCAAAGAACTTGGCTAATTTGTTCAAAGAAGTTGATAACTTAAGTTATGGATTTAGGACTAACCTAAGCCCACCTTGCATGGCCAAACTTTGTGAGATATTATTCATTTTATGCCCAAAAATATTGTCAACAACAAGGATAACCAACTGATGTAACAATGCATTCTAATCATTATAAGTATAGTTTGAATGTTAATTAGCTGTGCTCATTACTAGGTATATATTTTCAGTTCTGATATATGTAAGTAGCATGCTTTGACCAAAAGTTAATATTAAGCACTATTTTTGTGATGCATCAGGGTAGACAGAAGTTAGCTAAGTTTAATGCAAGAGAGTTTGCTACTTTGGTGATTGACATATTGGGTGAGGTGAAAAGAAGACAGCTAGGATCATGTTCAACAGGTGGTGCAACACCAAGAGACAGAGGTGAGTCATAATGAGGTATAAGTTTTGTTTTTTTGTACAGTATTATAAAATGGTTGGTAATCCTTTTGAGACAGGTTATAGGTGAAAGGCCATGTCATCTCGTTTGTTGACTTGCATTCAAAATTTTATTGAATTACTATTTCATGAATTTATGTCACTAAGTTTGGTATCAAACTGTAGATTATAATTAAAATTTTAGAACTATACATTACTCAATTTCTTAATTTAAAAGTAAATATAAAAAAAAAACACAGATAAACATTGATTTTTGTGTGTCATGTGGTACGATGAATGCAGCACTGGTTCAAATTAGATGTTTGTGAAGTCAAAATACTAAATCTTTAGTTTCATGTGAATCAGAAACTCAAATTACAGATAGTGACAAGCTAGAATATAAAATAAGAAAGTATTTGCTAAGATATTGCTCATGTAATAAATCAAACACAGTGGCACCCCGCCCACCTCTTTCCATTTTTGAAAATGCTCCCTTATATACATTTACCTCTATATATGACATGAATAACCTGATGATGACAAAACCTTGTTGAAACGTTGTACATTTGCTGTTATGTTAAACTTATATTAAAGTTTTTCTTCATTACCCATTCAAGCTGTCTCCAGCCATTGTATGTCAATAAAGTTAGCATCAGTGTGTAGTTTGTAATCCAAATTTTTGTATTATCTGAGTTTTAATTTATTAATTTCAAAAGAAAATATTTAAAAATTTCTAAATTTTAATTTCTTTGTGTCATGTGATACATTTGTGTTCTGAAATTTCCTCTCTTAGTTTGTATAACTTCAATATTATAGCTATCATACTATCTGACTTATCCCAGACACTAAACAATTCTAAGGTCAAATGTACAATTTCAACAATCAACATGCTAATTTCTCCCCATGGTGAGAAACAAATGTTCTCAATCCACAACAGAATTCCTACCCATCTATACATATCTTCCACAACAGTTTTCAAACCCACGTGCACTTATTTGACAAACATATTTATAACCAATAGCAAGAGCTTATTCTAAACTTCACCCCATTACTGGTCCTTTTGAAATTGGCACTAAAGAGTTGGACAGTATAGGATTTGGTTCAATGTTTATTGGAAAGCAAGTTGATGCTTATAGCATTAGACTATTTTTTCGACCTTAAGTAGCTTAGTTAGAAAACCAGTTAAATTATAGTTGTTTTTGGACATTCAATTTTAGTAATGGCTGGAGACGGCTTAAATGGGTAATGAAGAAAAACTTTAATATAAGTTTAA